GTACCTCGCCACTGTCCTCCTTCGCCCCCTTCTTCCTCCTCCTCAGGCTGGGCTGCTCTCCTTCCTGCAGACAGCGCTCCAAGTCCAGCGCTTGGCTCCAGCAGTATGTCGACAATCCTTGCACACCGCAAATGAGGAGGAGCCACTTGCTCCTCCAGAAGATATAGCGCCCTACTTGCCTCTTGGGCAGTGACTTCCTAGGTTGCGCGGCCTCCCAGCAACTGGTACGTCCCTTTCGGAGGAAACATCATTGCAGGATCTGATATCGTCCTGTACAAGCCCTAGACTCAGGCTACTTGGACTGGTACCGGCCTACCTCTAGCCTACCTCTTCTGGGCCTCTAAAAATGCTGACTTTTTGTCGTCTTCTGCTCGGCCTCGAGTACCTGGCACTTCTACCACTACTAGAGTGTTTTTCCGCTGTTGTAAGTGTCGGGGGCCTACCCCCGCGAGAGTGTTTTTCCCTGCTGCAACCCTCAAAGGCACGCCCACAGGTAAGTACCGCCCCTGTCGGGCCTCCAAACGAATGAGTACCCTTGTGGGTCACACACACACACTCAGGCCGACAAGCACTCAGATGGGCACGCAGACCAGCAGGCACACACACACACAGACTTAGAAATCACAGCAGAATGCGGGAATCTCAGCAAGGCATACATTCCAGGGGCAAATCCCAGAACTCAGCAGTGTTCTCAGTCTGTCTTTTGGCAGGTCATTACGGTAAAATTCAATAATATAAACCTGCAAGTATGAGCCTGTCTCTTATACACATCTAGATGTGTATAAGAGACAGGTTCATTACAGGCTATTGGAGTTTAACAATTCAGCTATTTTTGAGTCTAAATCTATTCTCTCTCTCTCCCTTTTTTTTTTTTTTTTTTTTTTTTGTCCTGAGTCTAAAGACTCTATAAACTATTCAGTGATGTTAGCATGAACAATTTAGTGATTTAGTGCAAACAGTGTGAATCTCGTCGAATATGAAGAAGTCACATCAGATGTCAAGAAAGTGAGCATAGGAAGGAAGTTCACACAGGGAATGGCAGGAAGGAACCAGGAAACACTGCTGTGCTTTCCTAATGTAGAATAGGCAGTCATTATATCTGCATCTGGACTGGGAATGGCTCTAAATACATTGCCAGGTGCTGAACGCTGGCCGGCCCATTGCACTGTGAGGGAAAGGTAGCGGACAGGAAAGTTTGGAGTCCTTTTTTGTTAACGTCTGAAATTGTTCAAAACCGGAGAAAAAGAAAATAGAAAGGAAAAGCGCGAAAATTTTATGAACGACAAATAAAACAGTGGAAGCTAAAAAAACAAAACAAAAAGAACAACAAAACTTTGGTTGTAGTCTTCCCTCCCCCGCCCCCTGTGTTCCCACAGCGGGACAAAAACTTAGGCTTGGCTTTGCTCATCCCACTGATCGCTGTATAAGATGCAAGGGAAGCTGGGAATTGATTTGACTTTGCAATTAAAAAGAAAAAAAAAATCAGGCTTAGGTACTTACTAGTTAGTGATTAGGTGATTGTTATGATCTTGGCTATCTAGAAGTGCAATGTGTCCCTTTTTTTTTTTTTTTTTTTTTTTTTTTGAAAGAAGTGCAATAACTCAAAGAAAGACAATGCTGTACAATTGCAACTCAAATGAAAGAACTTGGAAAGAGACATGGCCAAAGGAAGAAGAACAACAAAGAAGAAAGAAAGAAAGAAGAAGAAGAAGAAGAAGAAGAAGAAGAAGATGTACACAAGGAAAGAGCAATGTCAAATCCCTCTCCAGCTTGACACCACCTTCAACCGCCTTATCTCCCCCAACTTCTTCTTTTCAATAAACAATAATAATAACAATGAAAGAATGAACCAGAACCAATGTCCGAATCTGCCGCTTACGGCCAGTAACTCATGGGGTCCACCATAGCCATCATCTACACCTTTTTCCTACTTGGCGAAGTGGATGGCTATGGCAGACTAGCGAAGCCTTGTGTAATCAGCCTCGACCTAGTCACACTTCGACATGCATGCAAACAGCGAAACAGACAACTGGCAACATGCACCCACACAGTACTCGAAGATATCGTAACCAGATAAGAGTTCTCTTCCAACTGGCTATGGCGACTGTGCGCCCACACAACTCACTGTTCGCACTCTGGATCACCCTGGATGTCCCACACGCAACACTCTGCACTTACACGCGACACACACACACGCTCACTACTAACTACAGCTATGGCAGCTGTCGCTGCATCTAACCTATCGCTATGCTAACTCCCCCCTCTCTAGCCCACTGCGTCCTCCGGGATCATCTGCAGACCTCCTTGCACAAGTCGCTGTGGCAGCGCTTCCGCATGGCTCACGCAGGAAGCAATGAATGGCTGGGCGCCGCCTCTTGATTTATACTTCAGAAACTCGTTGGTCTGCCCTTTGCCATCGGCCCTTGATGCTCACAGTCCCCCTGTGGTACTTGCTGGACCGGACTGGGACTGACTGGACCCTTTGCTGACTGACTGTGGACTCACCGCTATCCTACCGACGTTGTACTGCTGTTGCACTGCGGTTTAGTCCACCACTTGCCTCACCACTTGACCACTTGCCCACTTGCCTACCTTCTAGAAGGTCTACAGCTACGCTTCCGGAACTCACTAAGACTCCTACGCTATAGACCTACAGATCGAACCCCTGTTGTTTATGGACCTACGACAAGCCTACCAACTGCCTACGAATACACAAGTCACAGGTTCAATTCTCGGGGTCTACACAGATACTGTACATGGGTAGGGTGAGGTCTAGGGATCGAACCCTGGGTACTGCATCACCACTGCTAAAAGGTGAATTTCACTCCCGCCGGCCTAAATTTGAGGTCCTCCGAGAAAATTTCAGTCCAAGGCAGGACCTTTGCCCCTTTGCTGTCTCTCGTAGGCCCGGACTATATCGGGAGCTGTCTCTAGAAGTTCGGATCTTGTAAACCAGCGGTCGTCTTCGGGTTCCTGATAACTAAAATGAACCTTGTACTGTTTCTGCGGACGACCTCTACCTCCAGTTCTGAAGACGTCTTCAGCCACTATACCATCTATGTCGTATCTTCCATCCATATCCGGTGGGATCATCGATCTACGGGATGGAAACTGATCACTTGTTTGACAAGGTAGCAACTTCGATGCGTGGAAAACTGGGTACGTACGGAGGTGTGCTGGTAACTCGATGGTGTAGGAGGGTCCATCTTTGCCGCCCTTGACTTCCAGAGCAGGCCATGGCCCTCTATATGTGGGCAGTAACTTCTGCGAGATGTTCTCCTCAGGTGCAAACTCTTTAGAACTAACCCAGACTAAGTCGCCTACTTGAAACTGTGAAGGGCGACGATGTTTGTTAGCTTGTTCTATCATCCGATGCTAGGCTTTCCTGAGGTTTTCTACAACAGTAGTTAGTTCTTTCTCGTGCTGTACAGCAAACTCCCTGGTCCCGGGCGGTAATCTCTGAATCTAATCCCGGTTGAGTCCTTCGAACGGTTTGCGCGGTCGAAAGGACTTGTGCAGTTGGTTGGGAGTGCGGCAGGTGGACAAATGCACGCTGTTGTTATACACACTATCTACTTTAGGCAACATCTCATCCCAATTAATCTGATGTGGGCTAATGTACATGCGCATAACTTGCTGTAGGATCTTGTTCATTTGCTCTGTCTGACCGTTAGTCTCTGGATGACGGTCGGACGACATCAACAACTTAGATCCGTATACTCCCATGAGTTCTTGCCAGTTCTGGCTAGTAAAGCGACTATCTCTATCGCCAACTATAGACAGTGGGATTCCATTTTCACTAACCTAACAGTCAAAAAATCTCTGTATGACTAAATCAGTACGTGCCTCTGAAGGCAAAGGAACAAAAACTGCGTACTTACTGAAATGGTCAACTATGACCATGACTTGGCTCTTGCCATGCCTACTCTTGACTTGGGTGTCCATGAAGTCTATGGACACTGAGTCTCCTGGCTGGTCAGGAATCGGTAAGGGTCTGAGAAGACCTAACGGCGCTCGCGTGCGACTCTTATTACGCTGGCAAACCTTACAACTGCGAACATACTCTACGCAGTCATTCTTCATCCCTGGCCAGGTATACGCGCGCATCAGATTGGCTAAGGTCTTTTGCCAACCAAAACGATCCTCTGTGTCATGGCACTCACCCAAAATCAGACTACGAATCTCTTCGCTATTGGGGATGCACAGACGGTCAAATACATTAGTCTTCTCAAAGAGCAGCCCTTTAGTAGTGCGGTAGTTCGGCTCAGTCTCTGGGGCCTCCTTGACCTTTTTAAAGAGTTCACTATAGATAGGGTCCTGCGCATAGGCCTCTCTAACCTTCTGTTGCAGGTCCTTCCCTATATCAAGATAGTGTACTATTGCMCCAAAGTAATCTGCYCTSCTACWCAGAGCATYCGCGACTACGTTGTACTTCCCTTTGACAGGCTTGAGCTCGAAGTCGTATTGATCTATCTCTGCGGCCCACCTAGTGAGCTTAGGTGTCATCTTGGCCTGCGTCCTTAACCATCGTAACGTTTCATGGTCAGAATAGACTTTGAAGTGCCTCCCAAGCAAGTAGTGCTTCCAGTGGTCTAAGGCTTGCCTGAGAGCGTAGGGTTCCCTCTCATAGGTAGATGTCGCGACCTTCTCTGAAGGCATTCTGGCGGACATGAACTCTACGGGTCTATATCCATTGCCATCGTCTTGATGCAACACTGCGCCTATGCCGTATTGACTTGCATCGGTTGTGACAACAAAGGGCAAGGACGGGTCAGCGACTTTAAGGACTGGATACTCTATCAATGCCTGCTTTAACTTCTTCATGGCAGACGTGCAGTCCTTATCCCACTTCCAGATGGTCTCCTTTCTCAGCAATCTGCGAAGGGGCGCATCGACGGTGGAGAAGTTCCTCACGAACTTCCTATAGTAATTAGCTAGGCCCAGGAATGAGCGCAATTCTGTCAGCGTACGTGGCGTGGGCCAATCTCCAATTGCTGCGATCTTGCTATCTTCTGGCTTAACGCCATCTCCGTCTAAGACGTGGCCTAGATACAAAACTTGGGTCTTTGCCTAATCGCACTTCTTTGCATTGATCTTGAAGTTAGCTTCCCTCAGCTTCTCCAAGACCTGCCTGAGATGACCCTGATGCTCTTCGAGGGTCCTACTAAACACCAAAATGTCATCTAGATAAACTACAACAAATTTGTCTAACCACGGCCTAAACAAATCGTTCATACAACGCTGGAACGTAGCTGGCGCATTGGTTAGTCCAAAGGGCATCACTATGAACTCGTAGTGCCCATACCTAGTCCGGAAGGCCGTCTTGTACTGATCGTCAGGATGCACCTCTATCTGATGATATCCGGACTTCAAATCTATCTTGGAGAAATACTTCGCCCCCTGCACTCGATCTAAAAGATCGTCTGTCCTAGGCAGTGGCTCAACATTCTTCACTGTAATAGCATTCAGACCCCTATAGTCTATACACATCCTCAACTCTCCCTCTTTCTTAGGGACAAAGAGAACAGGGGCTCCAAAAGGAGACGAACTGGGCCTAATCCAACCCTTTTCAAGGAGCTCGTCCAACTGCTTCCGCAGCTCCTCTAACTCCCGCGGGGCCATCCTATACACAACACCCTTAGAAGTCCTACTGCCAGGCTCTATCTCAATACGGTGCTGGATGGGCCGCGGCACCGTGCCTGACGGCGGCTCAGTCAAATCCTCTTCCAACAATTTGGCAATAGTAGGGTTTATGGGCTTCTCTTCCTTAGGCCCAGTGACGGGCCTAAGAGAGGCAACAAAGACCTGTTCCTCTAATTTTTCCTTCTTCACCAATCTTGCGAACGTAGGGGCCCTAAGGCAGCAATGTGCCAAGGAATTCTCTACTCCCGACACATGAAACAGCCGGGCAGTCTTAGCCTCGCCTGCAGAACTAGGGAGTCTACACTCGTGCTCCTTCAGATGGAGCGTTGCCCCGGCTGCCTCTCCCTAATCCATTCCCAACACCATATCAAATGGGAGGCTTTCCTCTACGAGGAGAGTCAGGGAGTGGAGGACCTTCTCCACCTTCCCATCTTTCTCTAGGCGGAAATACGCCTGGACTCCCTCTACGTAATCCTCTACAACCATGGTACGATTGTCCGCGAGGATACTAACTATGGGGTCTGTTAGTTTGTGGACTTTAAGTCCCAACCTCAACTTCTCCAGCGCTTTCTTACTAATATAGCTGCGGGTGGCCCCTGAGTCTACTAGGGCCCCTACTCTACTTCTAAAAATCTCTGCACCTAATAAAATCAGCTGCCCTTTATTCTCCTTCTTCATCTTGGCCCAGGCGGGCCTCCTCTCCTTCGGCCACGCCTGTGAGGGAGGTGTCTAGCGAAACTCTAACACAAGTAGTTTCGGGACAGTTGTCTAGACACCGGCCTGCAACCTCTGCCATAGGCACATGTGGTGTGGGAGTCTCCTGTCGGCTAGCGCTATGTTCCCCACATGGCCTAGTGGTAGGGGCAGTTGCTACCCCTACCGGCGGCTGCCTTTTGGCCCTTGGGCAGCCGTCCGGGTCTCTCGATACTTAGGACTGTATTTGATGATGTGGCCCAGGTCACCGCAGAAAATGCACTGGCCCCGGTCCAATCGTTGTTGCCATAAAGTCTGGTGCAGACCCAAAGATTCCCAAGGCCTGCCCTGCGGCAGCCCTGGGTGCCATCCTCCTACTCTATAGGGAGACCTATTCCTAGGACGGTTTTGCGGGGGACCTTGACTCCTTCCTCCCGCTTGGCGTTTTCCTCCCCTGCCGCCAACCCCCTGGCCGTCCTGAAACCGGCTCCTTGAGGCCCGGCCTCCTTGGCCTTGGCCTCGTCCTCCGCCTTGCGGCCTCCCTCCAGCCCCAACAGCAGCGTAAGTCCTCCCCTGGCCTACACCGCTGCCCTCCTCCTCTAACCCCCACTCAATCTGATCGTAGGGGATCTCATCCACACTACCTTCGTCTAAAGTTAGGACAAGGCTATCCTTAGTTTTCACCTGCTCAGAGATGGTGCGGCCCTTCCATTGCTTTCCCTTGTCCAAGTCTTTGTGCCAAAAGGTAGACACAGATGCAGACTTGGCTTCGAAGGCCACCACTTCACGGCTGAGAGAATCATAAGTAGTGGCGGGATCTTCGCTCTTCGCGAAGAAGTGCACTCGCAAGGCTTCGGGGATCGCCCGGTAGAAGAGGCCGACCAATTGGGTGTCTGTGACCCCATGGTCAGGAACGGCGATTAGTTCGTCCATCGTGCTCTTGAGCGCCCTGGCACTCTTCCACTTACGAGCGTGGATTGTCTGGAGCCTATCTGAGGCTTTGACACTACGAGCGACATTTGCAAATCGCTCGCCCAACAATTTCATGAACTCGGTGAGGGAGGTAAATGCCGAATAGACAACTGCATCATCATTGCAGTTAGCGGCGCGCACTAGGGACCTTGCAAAACTGGCGGCCTCATCTTTGAGCGCATGGATCGCAATCAAAACATGCTGATCCGGGGAGACCTGTTGCAGATGCACGTAGGTCTTGACGTTAGCCTCCCAGTTGTCAAAGTTCTCTTCTTTCTTCTCGCTGTAGGAATCGGGGAATTTGACCTTGACCGGCTCCCGACGAGGACGTGCTTCCTCCTCCTTGGGAGCTGCCACTTTGACACCTTCAATGGCGTCGAGGCGATGATTCACCTCGGCTCCTACGGCTCCTATCAGTTTGCGCGCAAAGTCCCGGAATCCCATTCGCATCGAGCGCACAGCTATGTCCTGACTTCGGCTAAACTCGTATTGCTGTTCTTGTATCTTTGCTAGACGCTCGACACTCTGGGCGAGGATCTCTACCTTTCGTTCGAGGTCTACCTGAGGGGTCAACTTTAGACTTAATTTCTGCACTTCTTCTAACTCCTTGACCGCCTCACTCGCTGCCTCCACCCTTCTCTTCTTTTCCCTCATCATTGCGAGTTTCCATTCCATCCTCTGCTCATCCTTCATCGCCTTCCGCTTCAGCATATCCTTTTCTGCTTCCCATTTCTTCAGGGCGGCTTCCTGGTCATCCTTGGGGATATACATAGCCACTTCTTCTTCCTCTCCCAAGGACAAATGAGTGACCCATTCTGAAATCCGTTTCTCCATTTCTTCACCCTTGCTGCCACTGTGCTGCCCTCTCCTTCTTTCCAGTGGCGGTCCCTCGTCTTCTTCCTCTTCCACCTCTTTCAACTTCTCCTCTTCCTCTTTCTTGATTCTCTCCTTCTCTCTGGCCATTTCTTCCTCTAGCTTCTTCAGCTTGGCCGCCTGCTCCTCCTGCAGGACTTTCTTCTTGGCCTCCCTCTTCTCTTTTCTAGGATGGCGGCCATCTTCACCTCCTCCTCCTTTGTGTACGGCATAGTGGAGGTGCCGCGCCGGGTGTCTACCATGGTGGTGTCAGGTGCACGACAAGGGTCCCACTCCTCACCACTTGGACCTACCCGGACACACTGACCTACTGACTGACTCCCTAAGGACCACAGGGTAAGACCCTGTCAACTATGGTCACTACCAACCCAAGACTACTCTAAGGCTGTCACTACTTAACCAAGAGCTGATCGGGAGGCATTTAAGGAGATCCCCCGTAATTCCTCAAGAATTCTTTAACGTCGCAGACAGGACGACGTGATCAGCTTGGTTCCTCTGGCGATTTCAGCCCACAACTCAGCCGTTCCAGCCTACTATGCCACACCGAGCAGCCCACCGGTCTGTACCGGTCCTTGGAGGGGTTCGTATCCCTCGGGACAGTCGAGTCGTCAGACACAGATCATCAACTGTAATAGGTCCGGTAGGGGAGCGGCTCAACCAGGCCTCAACACTTAAAGACGGCCCTCGTTTCAGCCTACAGCTCGGAGTTCAGACCCTCTACACAGAACTCAGTAGACCTGCCGGACAGTACCGGTCATTGGGCTAGACGAGTTGTTTAACGAGCGCTCGCCGCTCATGCCCAGGTCTCCAGATGCCAGAGTAAAGCTTTGGTCCTACTAAGCCCGTGTAGGTTTGGCAGCAAGGCCCTATCCTTCATCCATAGAGTCCTAACACCTAGGACAAAAGAGACTCGATGCAGAAAGGAAGACAGGCAGACTCAACTCAACAAGTACCGTAGGGGTGTGCACATCCACAGGGTAAGGGGATAGGCTGAGGGGTCAACGAGATATCACCAACTCCAGCTTGGTCAAAATCTTGGTCAGCAGCCCCGGTCAACGCCTTGGTCAACGC